CCATACGGGACATCATTGAGGCCGGCTAGATCAGTCATGATCACAGCCGTAATAAGTACAAGAACCAAGATAATAATATTTTGTTTAGTGTGGCTAATGTTGTATACCTTATGAGATGCATTAATTAAACGACAGATACGATGTTATTCGAATGGGCATTTCACGGTTTTTAAAAATCTCATAATTAGAAACTGAAGAAAACCGAATGTTAACCTTTAGGTTACTTTATTATACGGAGGAGGCTTTTACCTTTGAGTCAACAATTTTAAGAAGACGTGACTATCAAATAAGTCAAAGAAACTATACACCTGCGCTCGTTTCCTATAAAATATATTCGCCGCACAATTGTTACAGCCCTACTGAAGTAGTATTTCCTAATCGAAAACGGTCAGGATTTCATGAGATTATTGCACGCTTCAGTTAGCCATAGGTAACAAATAAAGCCTTCGCTGATATGTCATAAAGAGAATGTGGTTGAGAAGATGTAATTGCTGGGACAAGACTGTTATTCGCCTGATGTTTTCAAATCAGTTGCCGGTTTTTCATCAGATACATTAGCAGAAACAGTAGCAAAAAGAACGTGGTGTTATAGTCCTTTTTGGAAAGAGACCATGGCTGATAATGACGCTAGTCAGCGACAGCAACTGTGATTTCTTACTTTATAGGAGGGATTTCGACAGGCTTGAAAAATGTATTTGACCCAATTGTGAAAAAAACAAACGGCCTGTTTGTGATTCGGACCCAGAACAGCAAGGGAAATGCTTCAGTACAGCCAACGCTCTAGTTACCTCAGCTGCCTAGTCCCACCGGCAGCCGCGAGTTCATTCAAACCTGGGTGAATTTTCCCGTCCAGCCTATCGCAACGTATGAAATTAATCAATTCGGACACAATAATCTGACTACCTAAACAAGTAATCTAGAATCCACAAGGCAACTACCAGACGCATTTAATTAGTATACGGTATTCATGGGTTTGAATCCTACAGAGGCCGCCAATTTTTTTCACAATTGGTTCAAAGGAGTCTCTCAATTGATTAGTCAATGGAATAAGGGTT